CTATCTATCTATCTATCTATCTATCTATCTATCTATCTATCTATCTACCAAAAAAATGTCAATTAATTACTTGATTCAGGCTTTTAAGGGTTGAAGACCCTCTCTGTAATGTAAAATAATCTTCATTTTCACTTTGCTCTAAACTACACATCAGGCATAATTTTCCCTTTGAAATAAAAAGAAAACAAGTGAGTAGTACCCATCTAAAGTTGTGAGTAACTTCTACCTGTGCCAGCATGCTGGGCTGGATGTGGAGGGATTGGGAGGATTGGTTCTGGGGGACTAAAGGTACCGAGTTGTCCACTCTCACGGGGTAACCTGATGCCTTACTGGCGGTTTGGAGGCCTACGTGAAGAACAGAAAAACACATTACAATCTGCCTGATTTGTATTTGTTTATTCACGTGGGGTACACAGTTCCTTTTCCTCTCACCCTGGATGGTTGGAGGGCAGACGATGAGCGTCTGCTGGAAGGGCTCGGTCTGGGCGCAGAGCTGGGTGGGTCTGGTCTGGAGAGGGACGCCCTGCTGGGTCAGGCCCGGGATGTTGATGGTGGCCTGCTGGTAGAGGGCCGGTTGATAGTTGAGCAGCGGGACGTTGCTGCTGAGGGACAGCGACGGTCCTCCCGCGGAGGCCATCTGCAAAACATGCAAAAAGGACTGCAATTCAAATTCAAACGTCGACCGAGCAACAACAGCAGCTCAGTTTTTTAATGCCAAGTGAGAAGCTGCTTCCAACTGTAGGACATGTTTTAGGACAGATGGCTAAACAAACCAGCCCCAAAAAGACTGGCTTAAAGTATTTTTCAAGACCTCCTGCTTTTATAGCAACAGTATGGCACTATTGGACAAATTCCAAACTAAAGTAGCCTAAAGCTGGGTGAGTAAAAAGTCACAGGACACCGTTTTATTTCAGAAACAGAAGGCAAAAGGACATATGCGAATATCCTAGCAAGTAATGCCTAAAAAAACATAGATAGCTGGGCATCACTGGCAATGTTCACAGTTGTTGTTGCATCGTTCTGTATTAACAACTTTTGAACCACAAAAGATATTGCTAATCTGACTGCGGCAATAGATTTCTGAGACATTTCCGGTCTCCTTTGATAAGGTACATGGCCACCGTCCCTTTTGATTAAATATGCTGCGCGTCCAGATGGTCTATCTTCTCGACATTGCCTAAAAGATAGTGCCCCCTCACTCATGTCTTGTAAACAAACAGAAACCAGGAAGCAAATCTGATCATCATGTCACCCTGTAAAATTATAAAGATACTCTTCCAGAAATGAAAGCGATGATTCAAACACAAGCAGAAAAAAATCATTCGACACCCCCCCTCAAAAAAAAAAGCAGGAGGTCCCGCCCTCACCTGATTGTGCTGGTTGAGCTGGCTGCTGAAGGTGACGGTGAGGTTGGTGGCGGCGCTCGGGGCGGCGCTGCCCGCGAACATGCTCTTCCCGTTCTCGAAGGCGCTGCATCTCCGCTTGCATATGTCCATGTTTTGGAAGCAGGATTTCACGCTGGGGGAGTAAAAGCGGCGGCGTGAGCGCGGCCTGGCGGCTAACGGGCGGCTAACATCCCCCCCCCCCCCCCCCGGCGTCGGTCTTACTGTGAGCTGTGGGGGAAGTGCAGCAGGTGCGTCATGGTGACGAAGGGGTGGTTAAGCGTCTTCATAGGGGTGATTCTTTTGTCGGCGTCCAGCGTCAGCATCTTCTTCAGGAGGTCGATGAACTCCCGGCGGTCGGCCTTCTCGGCCAGGATGTCGGTGCCCTCCAGGGTGGTCATGTTCACCTGCGGGAGGCCGCCGTTTATCCCGCGTCTTTCCACACACACACAACTTCGTGACCGGCTAGGTCTCAAACTGAAAGGTTTACCTGCATCATGTCGTCCAGACAGTTGAAGATGTATTTCCGCGCCTCCTTCGACTTGATGCCCATTTCTGCCTCGTGCTCGGCGGGGGTCTGCGGAACAAAAAAAACTCTTGGTCGGTGGAACAGAAATGCTGCACGTGCCGTTCATTTTTTCAGGGGCTCCGATCGACGCGTCGCGGCCTACTTTGAGCCTCCAGAGCGGATAGCTGGAGTCGGGGCCTCTGTTGAAAAAGCGGCTGGTCTTGGTCCCGGCGCTGAGGAGGTACTCTGCTGGAAGGCCCTGCGTCTGAGAGATGTAGCGAATCTGAGGGAAAAAAAGGTGCATCAAAAGGTGAGGATGATGGAATAAGACCGTGCCCAAGAACGGCTCTAGTGTCTGACACGAAAAAATAGACAAATTTCTTTACACTAGACCTCTAAGCAGTTAGATTGTGGACAAAAAATATCTATAAGACTACTAGAGTGTTCCTTTGGAATTTGGATTTAGATCATTTCAGCCCAGAAGACTGCTAGAACGGATTAATCTAATCTTACATGAGTTCAAAAAGATGTGCATGAACTTGTCAATATGGCAAATTTAAAAGTGAATAATTCAAAGGAAGACAGAAAAATCTGTATAAACTAAATTCTGAACCAGTTCCTGTAAAGTGCGAACATAAACAATGGTCCTGATATGAAAGGGAGTGTGCATTCATTTTCCCATGAATGCAAAATGTATGAGAGCTCTGCAATTGACCTGGTCGTATTCCGAGGCCCCGGGATAAAGAGGCCACCCCAAGAACAGCTCGGCTATGACGCATCCTAGAGACCACATGTCGATGGCTTCGCAGAAAGGAAGACCCAGGATGATCTCTGGAGCTCTGAAAGCACATCGGATCGACAGCAGGTTACATCTCACACCAATAGGATCGTCCAATAAAGGGCTACGGGCTAAGGTCCACACCTGTAATATCTGGACTGCAGGTAGGTGGAGCAGACCGCTTTGGAGACGTGGCTTGCCGAGCCGAAATCGATGACTTTGACCCTGTATGGCTGTCTCAGGGGGTCCACCAGCATGATGTTCTCGGGCTTCAGGTCGGCGTGGATCAGGCCCAGGCTCTTCAGCTTCATCAGCGCCGTGGCCACCTGCTGCAGGATGGGCCGGATGCACTTGAGCAGCAGGGGGCTGAACTTGCTGTGCTTGAGGAAGTCGTAAAGGTTCTGCTCCAGCATCTCGAACACCAGGCACGTGTGGTTCTTGTGCTGGAAACACTCGTACGAGCGCACAAAGTTGAACTCGTCAGCGTTCTCCGTGCTCAGCCGGCTGAGGATGCTCACCTACGGGGAGAGGGCGGGAAGATGATTAATACGTGAGAAACGGAAAAGGGCGATATCCTTTCAACCAATCATTCAACCTCTTTTTATTATCTTCATTTATTAGTTTCCTATAAATGTATATGTTAAGCCTTTTCTGAAACTGCAAACAGAAATGATACTATAGAGAACATGGGATTGCACACCTTTTTTTTAAATTAGTCTTTCATTCTAAGGCTTTTAACCAAAGACAAGCACAGACAGTCAGACTGAGACTTCAAGTTATTAATTGAAGGAAATAATGTCTTCAAAATTATTTAATTTAACTGCATCTTTCTCAGGTTAATCATGTCTCCGGATGAGAGGACAACTCAATTCCATTTCATACCAGCAATGCTGATTCACGCTCCCAAGTCCAATAGGCTGTTGTAATACATCTAAAATGCATTTTCCAGCCACAAATAAGATTTCCAGGACACATTGAGCGTTGTTGGCTTACAAGAATTATGGACAATGAAACTGCTTTCCATGGCCCGTTTGGTGGAAAGTTTCCCTTAAAATAAAACAAAAAAACGTCCCAATAGCAGCTTGTGTAACTTTGAAAAGTTGCTCTTCACATCCAACAGGGGCGTTTTACAGGAGTCAGCCGTATCGCATTAACACTCACACGGAGGAGGAAAACTATCCCTGGAATGTGATATTCTTGGGAGATAATGTGAACTGTTCGAGCTCCACTTTAAATGCAGTACGTTGCAAATAAATCCAAGATACTTAGAAGCAAAAGCTCTTACTTACAAAGAACCAGCAGATTAAATTAAATGTAGGTAAATGTCACTAATTTGTTTGTCAAAAGACATTCATCTGAATCGTCACACTCAGCGTTTTGGACGGAACAGTGCTGTTTGATTAAAAATGCGATTAATCGGGATCGATTCATTACAAAACCTCGCATCCCACTCCTAAAATAACATCTGCAGCTTTAATTATCTTCAACGTAGTCACCTCAATTTGGCCTTGCCGAGCGTACGAGGGATGGTTTTTCAGTATCTTGATGGCCACTATCTCATTGGTGCCTCTCTTCCAGCACTTTGCCACCTGTCCGAAGGTTCCGCGTCCCAGGAACTCCAGCACCTCGTAACTGTTGGACATAGAGCACAGGATCTCATGCTGGACCAGCTGGTAGTCGCCCTCACTGTGGGAGTTGCTGCTCTTGGTGGTGGAGGTGGAGTGTGCTATGGACTGAGCGGTGGTGGTCCCCCCGCCGCCACCTGCACGGTTGGACACCACGGGGGCCGAGAGCTCCTCCAGGATCTGCACGCTGTCGCTGCTGTCCACCTCCTCGCTCTTCCTCTTCAGGCCGTGCGGCCTGTGGTACGGCTCGCCGGGCTGGGAGGAGGACTCGGCGTCCTTCGCGCGCCGGCTGGAGGCGGACGAGGAAGACGAGGAGGAGGGGGGCCCGCGGAGGCTGCCGGTGCTGTCGGCGGCCCGCACCACCGGCTGCTCCCAGGAGCCCGGCGCGGGCGGGGGCGCCTGGCCGTGGGGGTTGTGCGCCGGGTTGAAGCCGGGGCCGGAGGTGGAGGGCGCGGCCCCCCGGGACGGGCTCTGCTGGTAGTAGCTGCTCTCCGCCAGCTGGCCGGACCCATCCCAGGCAGGGTTCTCCACTTTCAGCCGCTTGGAACGAGAGTAGGCGCTGGAGGAGACGGAGGGGGAGGAGAACAACTGGAGCTGCGACGCCATGTCTGCGGAAGAGAGGACAGCTCGATTCAATTTCAGTTATACACTAATCACAACGGGCCTCATCTCTAAATACTTCAAATATACAATCCAAATCAAGTCAATTACTATCATAATTCAACCAAATCCAGTTCACTCAATTTTGAATGGGCCTATCTCACATAGAGCCAATTCTGGAAGTTTCCTGGTTGTACTAAAGCTTCACTTTGATCCAATCCTCCATCCTGAGCACGCGTGATGAGTCTGTGCTGATGCCACCAGAGAAGAAGAAGATTCCGTGTTGTAGAAGTTTTCTTTTTTGGTTTAACCTTTGTGTCATTTCGGCCATTCTGATCCCAAATGAAAAACGACTTCCTTCTCTTCTCACCGCTCCCCTTTTTTCTGTCCCTGCTCTTCTTGTTCTTGTGAACCAGAGCGGTTTTTATTACAAGTTGTTGTCCGAAATGTGCTTGTTTGTTTATTTGTTAATACTCAGCTGAAAGAATGGATGCAAAATGTAGTTGATTGCAATTTGCCGTTGGAGCCACTAGATGTCACTACAGCTGCACACTGGATCTGTGACCTTAGAACAAGGACACGTTTGGAAAGCCTCAAAAAAGCATCTAAAGGTGTTTGTCACCAACCTGAAAACGAATCAAACCCTTAAAAAAACTGAGATAAAATTCATCCCTAACACAAGACATGACATTGATGGGTTTAGCTGGAAAAGGAGAATTTTGGGATATTTCTACCTGGGCTTTGTTCTCCCTTTTTATTTGTCTAAGCGAGGTATGCAAATGTTCCTTTTCCTTTGGGTCATATTGGGCAAGAAGACAAAACACATCTGCCGTAAATCGGCAGTCCTCGTATTGACAGCTGACAGATTGTAGTCTGTTCTGTGTGGACAATGAGTCTATGCTGACATCCCAGGGGGATTTCCCCCGAGAGCCCATTTGTTTCAGAAAAACAAAAAAGTTTCTGTGCCAGTGTGAGCAGACTCAGCTGCAAAGGGCAAACGCTACACCGTCGTAACATGAAATTAGCTTTTATAAACACTGAACAGATGCTCAAACCGCATGTTTAACTCAAAAGTCAAATAAAGGGATGGATCTAATATCTTACATTATAATGGAGTTCCTTTGTGTGAGGAGCTCATGGAAATGGTTGTTGAAATGTGTTGTTTCGTCATGTGTGTGTGTCTCCGTGTTGATTTAATGAACCAAAGCCTGGCAGTATTCTTTACCTACTCACTGTAAACAACACACATGGAAATTGACAACTGGAGAAATCTTTTCTTTTAGTTATTGATTAATGTATCTCTATATCCAAATAAGACTAAACAAAACAGGGTAAATGACACAAGGATTTGGGGTGTGGGAAGCGTTGCCTCAAACCAGAACACAGTAACCTTAATAGGTCAATCTCACACCTAAAATATTTGGGACAACTATTTAGTTGTTTACTGGGTGGGAAACAGATGTGCTTTTTATTTCAACATGTGCAGGAAACCAGACAACCCAAAAATTGGACCTGTCTCAAAACTAAAAGCTGTTTGAAACAGAGCAACGACACTGTTTTTGTGTGACTTGTCAGGAATAATGAGGGATGTTTCACACTTGAAGCAGCAATACGAGGCAGGCAAAAGAACATAAACAATAATAAATAAATAAAAACAGGCTTGTTACAGCTCCCCATCACATGAGCTCGCCCCGGTTATCCATCCTGAGCAGCTCCAATGGCTAAGCGGGGGCAGAGTTTGCCCCACATTTGAATTGACAGGAAAAAACCCGACGCCGAACGCGGAAAGACCGTACCTGGAGTTTGCTGACCGTCCGCCTCCGTGACATCAAGGCCTCAGCATCCTCTGGCCGGACTCTGGCTCCAGCTGAGCCGCTAGCTGCCCGCTAAGCGCCGAAAGCTAAACGCCCGCTAGCTTCCGGCCGGCGTCCGTTGGCATGTCTGGCACCGCGGACACACCGCACAACGCGCGCACAGAGGCCCGGAACTGTCAAATGACATGACGACGAGCACCGCCGTCTGGGCAGAGCTCAATCATAACGGACCGTCCGTCTCCTCCGCTCGCCCTGCTTCCTGCCGACGTCACAGCCGACGTCACAGGCGCCCGCAGACGCTCGGTGAGCGTAGAGACGTTTTGTACGCAGGCGCCTCATTGGCTGGGTTTTGGCCAGCTGCTGTGACGTGGGCGTGCGTCCGCCATATTGGTGGAGGCAACTCTACGCTGCGAACTATTACAAATAAATGGCTCTCCCTTCTCAGGTGAAGTCGTTAAGAGTTGGTTGTCACTGAAAAATTGAGGACATCCCGGAGTTTAACATCTCCCACATATACCGTACTATGCATATGAACTTGACAGACAAATATCGGCAAATATTGTTTTCTTGCTTGCTGAGTATCAGATACACTACTGTAAGTGGAGAAGTTCCACCCCTTGTTTTTATATTTGAAAAAAAAGTTTTAAACCTTTTTACTCCTCACTGAAATGCCTTACATTGGTAATTACAAAAAGGACGATTGAATAAATAATCACCAGTGTATCTACTTTTATTTTGATTTAAAAACCTATTCCGTTTCCTTTTTATTTACCCTACTGTTATACAGTATGTTTGTCTTTTAGTCCAAAATCCTAATATCCTTGCTAAACAAGTGTCAAAACAGTGTATTAAGACATTTCATAGTTGACTACAATAAAAAATTAGTACACCCCATACATTAGTATAAAGGGCATTGAAAAAATACTTGAAAAAAATAGAAAAGAATAGGTCTGGACAACTGAAACAACATAAGTCTATTGGCTGTAAAAGATTTTTAGACATATCTGAAATATGAATATTTCCAAAAATGAACGTCATGTCAACACTAGAGGGCAGTATTGCTTGACCATCAAGGGAAGGAGGCGTGAGTCAGTTAACCACAGACCACAGACTTTTATTTCCACTCATCTCTCCTTCAGATATATTAACAGCTCTACAGCATGTTCACAGGAGCACAAACAATGCATTTCACATTCCATCAAAATGACAAGGACTACACCAGCGTAGTCAATGCAAAAAAAACACAACACAAAACAACACATTTCATATCAAAATAAACTGTTCGACAAGAGAACTAATACTGAAACAACGCTCCTTATCTGTGGCTGGATTCAAGTTTGAGTATGGAATACAATGGAGTGCATGCATGAAGTAAACACACAGAAAACAAACACTTGTATATTGTAAAATATCAATGGAATTCCTTGAAAAAAAAAAAAAGACAGGTGCTCATTTGACAATGCAGGAAAAAAATAGTATTTATATACACTTTTAAGAGGAAAAGACCAGCAAATCCTCAGAGAGCAGTCCTTTTCATACAAAAGTCTGATCTAAAATACAATGCATCTATTCTAGTTTTAAAACACTTTCAGCGGAACTTTTGTGGGTTTCTGAGCAGAGCACAACAGAGTGTGTAGTAGTTTTCTATGAATTAGTCTACTGAGCTTGGAGTTTCTGCTTGGAGACACTGGTCACAGCACCCCGGCTGTGACTAATGTCTGGAAAGTTCGTCTTTTCAAGTACTACGTCTCTCTCCAGATGCTTGGCCGACTACCTGAAAGAGTGTCGGAAGTGCAAACTCCTCCGCTTCAGCTTTTCCGGATTGTGGGATGCCATGTGGGAGAATTCCCGGAAGATGTCCAGGTATGTGGCATCTCCTGGAGGAGGAAAACAACAGGAAAAAAGGAATGAAAACCAAAACCTGGTTTTTCTTTTCTTTCGTTCTTCATTTACGGTAAGCACACAACCAAAGGCCCAGGGGCCCCGGTGAGCGAAGGGTCCCAAACAGGCGCTGGCACCATGACGTTTCTCCTTTCAGCCGTTTAATAAATGGCTGTCCCTTTTCTCGTCGTCATGGTAACTGCTGAGTCTACATCCCCAACAAAAGTAGCTGAACTCCTTTGTGTCTGCGAGCTCCCAGGCACAGCTAATTGAAATTGAAAAAGATGGAGGAAAACCCCTAAGGGAGACTTTGAGACCATGAAAGTTTCTTACGTTTTATTGTGATTTAACTTCTCCTACTTATGCATTTTAAAAGTAAATCAGTGCAGATTTCCCAACAGGCAAGGTTACTCCTACCAGTCAGAGATTAGGCAATTTTCAATATTAAGCATTATGGTTATGTAAAGTGTTTGTTTTTTTGTCATTAGAATATAGATCTTTAGTTCATAGTTCTATGAAGTCTATAAAAGAATTTTATCTATTTTCTAAAACAAGGGAAGCACTGAATATGATCTGACTTAAAAATACAAGTTTAAAAAAGAGATAAAAATGTTTTCCAATAGCACTATGTATACACAAAAGGATTGTATTGTTAAATTTCCATGTTTTTTAGAGACTACCATTTTTCCTTAACTCAACGCTCCCATTATGAAAAGGTTTTTCCAAACAAATTGTAGTTCAAAACCTTGATCTTTCACTGACAATCATTTAGTTGTATTCTTGTTGGATAACTCATCCTTGAGATGTGTTTTTAAAATTTGGAAAAGTGTGTTGATTCAGTTTGAAAAGGCACACATCTGTTCATATGGTATCGGATCCAGCTTTTCGCAGCACACCGGGAAGTCAAAAGGCAATCCTTTGACTAAGCTGCTCGGACAAAATGAGAAACAAAGCTAAGAAACTGTGATCAGGCAACAGAACAGAAACCCAGCAGCCCGCCCAATTCTCAACCAGCCACCACAGAGACGGGCTAAAAACAAACAAAAACAGATCAGCCATCATGTCAACACTTGTTGACCTGTTTTCAGTTTTTTTGTTGAGTATTGAAGGGACTTAGAAGGGGGGAACAAAAGAAAGCTTGCAGCAAAATTACCAATAATTGCTGCGAATAGCACTGGAGTACTAGAGCACAGTAGTGGAAGCAGTATGCTGTGGGAGCACTTCTCAAGACTATTACAATACCAACAACGTTTACAGAAACCTGAGAACAGGACATCGGTTTGCTTGTTGAGTTAAGATGGTTAGAAAGCAGACTCACCTCATTTCAAACCCATTGAAGAAAACTCCAACCAAATAATTTCAGTATTTTAGATTTAGATTAAGAAACAGTTAAAATAAGCCACATGCAGTGTAAAATGTGGGTTGTGTAGACAGCTGACTCAAAACTGAATAGAAGGAAGAAGGTAAAAAGCAGGTGAAAGTCAACAGGAAAGCAGCAACAACAGCTTTAAGAAGCTTTTATTCTTGACAGATGCATACCTGGGCTTCTGTCTGAAGACTGAGGCATCCCTTCTTACTCTGGATTTGATTAATTTCTCCACAAATATCCAGCAAACTCATTACTCCTTCAACATCTCAAAACTAATTCAAGATTCTAGCTTCAAGCTCTGTTGTTAGTGTGCGTTAGAAATGTGCTAACATTGTTTCATGAAAACATGGGGGGGGGGGGTTAGAAATGAGGCACATATGCAAAGAGAGGGGTTAGTGTTTAGTCAGCGTTTATTTTCAGTATTATTTACAGGATATCGGAAGAAAACATAGGGATCAGGTAGTGTTAATATGCACAGGTACAGTATGTTAACAGACACCATATCCTTAAATATTAAAACTGTACAGGTAACAATGAGAGACAGAAAAAAATACAAGAAAGTAAAAAAAAAAACAAGTCATTTTAGAAACAGGAAGGGTTAATAGATTTTTGGTTTGTACACACAACAGTCACCGTAGACACAGCGAGCTGTACGAGATCGACCCCTTTAATGTCTGAGTGTGAATGATTGTTCTTTCGTTTACGTCAGTCCTCTCGTGAAATCGGTTCATTTTGCCACCATCAAACAACATACTGCACAAAAGGAGAAAAAAAAAAAGCGGTGCAGAAAGAGGGGCGGCGCATTTTCAAAGTGCTTTGAATTCATCACCGAAAAGAAAAAAAGGAGGAAAATAAGTGTGCTGTTTTTTGTTTCACTGCCAGGACTTCTGAAAGCATTTAGTTTAAAAGATAGGAACCATAAACAGTCTTATGATTATTTTTTTTAAGTTATGTATTATGCACTGAATAAAAATGGTGTGGAATGTCTATTCTAACATTTCTGTTGGTAATTTATCTGTTGTCTATATTTTGACTTTAGCTGTTTAGCAACTACTAGCTTTCCCAGTTAAGAATTCCATTTAAAGCAATACTTTAAAGCTTAGAGACAAACTGAGATAATCGCATAGCATAGGCATTTGAAAAGTCATTTAATTAACTCAATTTTAGTTTTAGAAAGCAGTCTCTCCCTAGAACTAATACATCTCACTTGATTACTTCTTACCTCAGTTCCAAATGAATAAGAGTTTAATTCATTTCCCTTGTACTGCAACAGTATAATTCCCCTTTAATAAGTCTTATTCACTTGATTGAATTTCAATCCAATGAGACATGGATACGGTTCAAAATACTCACATCTGCTGCATCCAGATGTTGTATATAATAGGTTACCGTTTCTATTAACAGGATTTTTTTTTTAAAGACATCACTTTGAGAACAAGTAATGCTGTGTATTTTTTCATCTAACAACAAAATAGAATTTCATTTATTCTCCTCCTTAGTTTGAGGAACTCCATAAGAAATGTGGATCTCAACAATGAGAGTCAGAATAAAAATGATTAATTTAAAGCTGTTCTAATGAGCTAGAATTTGCAATTTTGTGGGTGCCATCTTTTTTTTTTTTTTTAACTTCAAAATCCCTAATTAAACTAGATAAAGAGAAAGGAAAAATGAAGCGTCAGGGTTGTAAACCGCTCAGGAAAAAAACGATAAATGTAGATCTGCGAAGAGCTGCAGTGACCAGCTAATGTTTGGATACTAGCGCTTAACCTACAATTAACTCATTTTTAAGCTTTTTAAGCAAATATTTCATGTATGAGTAGATTTAATTTCATATTAAGATTTGGTGTGCTTAGTCTTCAAGTAAGATTTCCTCTAAAAATGGTTTGTGTCAGCGGTCAAAAGCAAAAATGGGGAGGAACTTTGCTGAAAAACTTCTGGCTTTCTTTTGCCTTAACCAAACCCAAAGGTATCTTTAGGAGACAACAAACGTATTTTGGAAAAAAGATCATTCATTTTCCACTTTACTGCAGGATCATTTGGTCTAAAAAGACGAGCCTGTACTGCATCATGGCCGTTAAGATATCCACAAAACAAACAAACAAACAAACAAAACGTGCTAGACTCATTTTAGATTTTAAATGCTATGAAACGGTGTCCTGGTAACCTAGCTACAGTGTCCGTAGTCATGGCAGTGGAAGACGTTACTGACATTTATCTGAATTCCATGCACTGATGCTGTGATCCGGCAGTGTGCAACGTTCCACAATGCTAAATTTGAAATATTCACATAGATCAGGGCTTTGGAGAACCTGGGTAACACTCATCCGTGCATTAGAAACAAAGAACATATCTAACATGGGCCACGTCATGTCACAAGATATTGCCATAAACAACTATCATAGTATTTACATTTAACTTTGAACGATCAAAAACAGTCCACCTTCCGGTATTTAACAAGCCTGTCCGATTAATGGTTAGACACAAGGAAAGAGTAAAGAACTTTTAAGGAGAGCTTCATTAATACTGGTTCTTCTGTGTGAAGGTCTGAAACAGTGTTCTCAGTAAAGTAAAGTAAGTTTAACAAAATATATCCCGCTTAAAAAAATACCATCTGTAAAGTTGTTACAAATAATACGAAAAAAAATAACGATTTACCTGTGGTGAATTATTCATTGCACAGGATTAATTTTTTTTTCTTTTTTTTCCATAAATAAAAACAGAAAGAAAAACAAAAGAAAACTGAAATCACTGCTGGTAAGAAAAAAAGTGCATCATCTCGCTTTTAATTCGACGTAAAAGCTTCACGCGCTCGACTGAAAATGATTCCAACAATCATTTTCTCTTGGTCACAGTTATTGCTAGCTTCGCAAACTCCCCCCCCCCCCTTTCTGGGAAAATGGGACAGACCCCCGGCTTCTGGAGCTCTTTTTTTTCATTGCAGTGCATCTTTTTTCCGACTACTTTTATTGCACTTTCATTGTTCGGCCCTGATTTGAAATGGATGCATTTCCAATTAACGTGGCTCCAAGTGTCCACCTAAATTTGGCCATCTCCACTTCTGCTGAGGAAAACCACCAAACGGAGCAGATCAGAGCTCTCTGCAGATTTCTCAGAAAAGAAACGGATCTCAGTGTGAATCTGTTTAAATATTTTGTTGTATTGTTTAGCCCGACTGACTTTAATCACAGAAATTCGTTTGTTAGTTTTCAGTTTTTGAACTGAACAAAAATGTTTGTGCTGAAAAAACTAACGCTGTGGATAGTTTTCTGTGGCTTTAACACAGATATGACTGAAGAGTCCCTGAAAGAAGTAGAATGTATGTGGCAATCATTTAAAAAGTTATTTTTCATTACTTCCTATAAATGACTTGGTTCGATAGCAAGAGCACAAATCCCTCTTATCACTAATGCTGAAACGAAAAAACCTTTAAGAAAAGATCACAAAAAAAAATCAGAATTTACTTATTTGTGTCGGAACAGAGTGCCTCACTGACAGGAAATATCGTACCCAATGTAAAAATAACTGATTCTTACGGATAATTCCACCGGCCCGGCTTCACATGAAACCCGTCACAGCCATAAATCTTTACGAGGCCAGTTCCAAACACTGACTCCCGCTATTATGTGCTGTTTTCATGTTTAACTGTGGCTGTAATGCAGCTACTTTTACAGCTTTGTCCGAGTTATGTGCTGATCCATGCAGTAGAAGTGCTCCAACTGTGAGTTGTGTACAAACCCTCCATTAGAACGAGTCTTTTTACTAGAATGAAACCTAGAGCTGTCGGAATAAAATGGGATAATAGAGCCTCTGCATGCCTTTGGTTTGGATCATTTTTGCCTGTATTCTCTTTAAAAAAACAAAAACAAAGAGAAGAAGGAATCTGTCCTTTTGATTTTAGCATTATTGATGTTTGATTTCCTGCTAAAATTATCTCCTCTGAGATTCTTTGCTTAGTTTTTTTTGATAATTTGGCATTTGGTCAAATCTGACGTCAACACTGAGCTGCTGTCATATCCTGAGAATGAAGCCGACTGCTGGCAGGTTTTACTGTGTAAGAGTCAACAGACCGCTCAGGGGAGGGGAACACAGCGAATGCTAATCACGGAAACGGGGGGAAAAAAACATATGTAACAAAGGTCTCATTTAGACAAGCTCAACAAGTCTGACATCTTCCATAAGTCTCGTCATGAGTGTACTACCTCCCCCCCCTGACTTCTGCCACCCCTTTTTTGACGAGATCAGCAGTCTGCGATGTGAAGGCAGATAAACTCCTGAATGCATCTCTTATACTGCTGCTCAGTGGGGCTGCTGATGGGGTATTGACCTGGCTGTCCGAAGGGGCCCTCCGACTCCCGCATTTCCTCGTTCATCCTGGCCAGACGCAGCCTGCGGGACGGAGGGGGAGAAGCAGAGAGAAAAGGGCGGGGTGTTGGTTGTGATCCCAACACTGGAGCAACACACATTTTAAGCTTTTTAATAAACTCACAGCGTGACTATGTCCGCGTTGGCTTGCTGCACGGCTATGCTGAGAGGGTCTTGGCCGTCTTCGTCGCCATCGTTTTGCGTCGCTCCCCTTTTGAGGAATAAACACACCTGCCTGGAAATAGAAAAGAAACGGAGATCGTCTGAATTTACCTCTCTGAAAGCAACTTTTTTTCTCTTTCTATTTCCCCCCCAAGTCTCACAGTTGGAGTGCATTTTATTTATTTTTTAATGAGGAAACATTAGCTCTTTAAGTTTGCTGCGTTTGAGTCGCATTACTATCCACAAAGCAACAAGGGAGAGTAAATCCCACGACAGGCAGCCATGTCATTTTGAGCTAAAATATATATTTTTTAATGGCAGACTGAGACGGGAGGCTTCTCAACTAACCCCGTGTGTCCCAGATATGTGGCGTGATGCAGGGGGCCCCTCCCTCTGGCGTCTCTTTGGTTGACATCCGCAGCGTTCTGCAGCAGGAACTCGCAAGCGATCAATGAACCCTGAAATATAGAAAGCGTTTAGCCTGGTGGTTACGTCGAAATTCTGCCCGACCTTTAGGAAAAAGCAACGCAAAGCTAGAACAGGTCTGACGAGTCTCCACTCTGACTCTCTCTTCCTGAGAATGGGCCCTTTTTGAGACTAATAATAACCCAATTTTTCTGAATTCAAAGGTCTAAGTAGCTAACAATTAAAAGCATAGATTTGAACAAAACTTTATTTTTGTAAACATGCATGTTTCATTACTAGTCCATTTATTTTTCTTATCAGTTGGCACAAATTGTGAAGCTAAAGTTAGATGGAGATACAGAGACTTGTTAAGTTAAAGAGGGGAAATGTCCACTATAAATGATTTACCTAACCTACAGTATACACTATCAAACTCCAAAAGTGGTTATTTTGTCAATATTTAAACACTAAGAGGGGAAGCTTTTCAGTTTTCCTGACGTGCTCTCCGGCCAGCTCACCCCTATCACAGCTTGGATGAGCGGCGTCTTTCCTTCGTCGTCGTCGTTGGCCAGGTTCACGTCCGCCCCGTGAGCCAGGGCCTCGGCCATGAGTGGCAGGTTGCGCGCTTTGGAGGCTTTGTGCAGCAGCGCTCCGGGATGGAGCTCCCCCGCGTCCTCCGGGTCGGAGGTCTCCGGCTCCGCCTCCAGCTCGGCCTCGCCGCTGGAGTCCTCGGACACCTCGCACTCTGGAGGGGTAAAAACAGACCTCACGCCGTCACGCGGGGCTCAACCAGACACAAAAACTCCTCATGTGCTGCGAAATGTTCTGATACCACGCCCGCACCTTCCTCCGCCACGCTGTTGACCACCGAGCCGAACACCAGGATGTCCGAGCTGCCGTCCGTGCTGCCGCCCAGGCCGCTGTCGCTGCTCAGACCTGCCGGGCCGGGAGACGCCACCACAGGGACACATTATTCAACACCCTCTAGGTACAGGCTGATCACAACCATGCACCCAGCACCGTATGACCTCCCAGCTCATACTGGCCCAGGATGTTTTTACAGTTTATAAGAGGCTATAAAACAATCATCAAATGTTTCTGCACTTGTTTCTTTCCATTTGCAGGTATTTTACTTTTTTTTTTTTTGTAATATTCACTATTATGAATGTCATTTATTTTAAATTCTATCTAATTCATATCTAATGCCTAAGTTGTGGCCTCATTTAAATAAAATTATGCCTTATTTGAGAGTAAAACTAGCTAGAATCATGAATTTCTTAGACTATAGTATTTTTAGACTATATATATATATATACAGTGGGGGAAATAAGTATTTGACCCCCTTGCTGATTTTGCAGGTTTGGCCACTTACAAAGAATGCTTATTTTTCCTCATCAGATGGTTTTCCATTTTTATTAATTCATATGATGTGATTTTCTGGAATTTTCTTTGGGATTCTGTCTTTCACTGTTAGAATGTACATATGATTAAAGTTATAGATCGTTGCATTCTTTGTAAGTGGGCAAACCGGCAAAATCAGCAAGGGGTCAAATACTTATTTCCCCCACTGTATATAGTCTAAAAATATTATAGTCTAAAATATACATATGCATCAGGGTGTGCTGACTTAGAAAATTGTGAGTGGCTTACTTCGAGGCCCAGCTCCCGTGTCAAAGTAGGAGAAGAGGGAATCCAGCTCATCGGGACAAAACAGAGACTCTCGCCTGAACTTGGCAGCAGCTGTTGGACAAAGGCAACAAGAGCACGTAAGAGCATGAAGAGGAAGTGTTTGTGGAAGCATTTTATGGACCTTGGTCCTTTTAATCCAAAGAATTAAATAGGAGAATCTTCTTTTGAACGTGTAAGGGTAATGGGTTCTTTGGGTTTGGGAAGGTTCTCGGGCTCACCTGTGGAGAGGGCGGACGGGGACCTGCTGCCCGGCTCCTGTCGGTATCTCCGGCGGGTTTTGGGCACCGTGGTGGCGCTGTTGTGCCTCCGACACTTCTTCACGCTCCACCGCCGTTCCGACTTCCTCTCCCCGTTGATGCGGATCTCGGCGGAGCCCAGCTTCTTCAGGAATTTCTTCTCCACATACTTTGCCTTAATCCAGGCCTCTTTCTCTTGCCTACACACAAATAAAAACACCAAATTATTAGCGACTCTGAAGGCAGACGTCTCTGTGATCTTGGCTGTGTTTGTTTCGGCCTTTAAGCATTCCTACCTTGAGCTGGATGCTAATGGTTTCTTCAGACCTTGGTCCTGATAGGAGCCTTCATAGATGTGATTAATGACACTGTTTCCAAGCTCACACATCAACTACAAGGATAGAAAAGAACAGAAAATACATAAAGTTCCTCCCCACTAAGATGATGACCTGTACATGCACAAACAAAAGTTCAATATGATTCAATAATTGATCAGAAGGATGCTGATTAAAAATAAATAAATTCAAAATGGCACGTTCTAATTCAAACATAGAACAGCCTTCAGCTGCTCTCTCCCTTTTTACAGATCCTGATAAATTGATCTACCTTTGAAAAAACATGTATTGTATTAACTGCTGAGACTATTGTACAGGAATGTACAGGAATTTTCAAGTCATATTTAATGACTGTGATGTGGCTGAAAAGCACAAATAAATACGTTTGAATATATCTGACTCTTTACAGAAAGCAGTTTACACCTGAAAATAGGCCATTGGATCGCCTCTCAAATTTTAACATCACAGTCATTATGTTGAGAGCATGTTGAGTGGGCTAATTATTGCGGTGAGTTTTCCTCCATTTTTAACCCGGTGGGAGGGTTACTTTCTAAAGCATCGACAGCTATCACAAAAAACTCTACCTTTAGTAATTCTGGTTCCCATGAGTCAAGTGTGAGCGAGCGAACTTTTGAACAGTGAACTCCCAGACTCCTGCAAAAGAAAAAAATCAAAACACACATTTTACACATGGTGCTGCGCTTGAGTAACTAAATGGGAATAGTGGAAAACTTTGATAAGAGGAGAGGACTGAAATTGAGAGAGCAAAAATGCCTTCTGTTCCTCTAACATGAAATCAGGACTCTGATCAAATCATACAGTACGGTGTTGTGCTCTGAGCAGCTCTGAGAGTGTTATCCCAGCTACCTAATGTCATGCAAATCACTGTCTGGTATCTAGGCAACAGTTCCATTTTAGGGGGTGTGGGGGGACGCAACAAAAGGGCCCTGTCTGACCTCCCTGAGAGGAAGAGGAGCCCAAAGAGGGGGCATGAATATTCAACAGGTCCAGCAGCGTTTGTGAATACATAGGCAGTAATGGTTTCAACTTAAAAGTAACACTCAGTCCCAACGTCCCATCGTGACGTTTTACTGGTTAGAAACAAACAACAAAAAAGGCACAAAAGTTTGATCTAATCGTGCGGAATGTGGAGGGAGAGCACAGCCCCTTCATTCACGGCGTTCACCTCCCGTGCACTCTGATCTGAGAGTGGATTCCGCTGCCTTCTCGCTCATTGAAAACTCCCTGTCAAAGGTCGGCTGATCCAATAAAGCAATGTCCTCCGCCTTAATCCTCCGGCTGTGTGCGGCAGAATGTGCCTGCCTTCTTTAGCAGCACACGGCTGAAGGAGCGGCCTGAATTCCGAGCCAGCAGCAGTGCGGCACATGGGCAAAAGATTCCTCGCTCAAATCCACTTAAAAGTACGGGACTTGGAAGTTGGTTGTTAAAGCTACGCACCGCAGTGACTTTGCACTGAACTCTACGTGTGCGGTTGGGGACCGTGAGGAAGCTTTCACATTCTGCCGTGGAAGGGGAGCGTGACCATTTGAAATTAAATTTTTAATCTCTCATTAACATTTTAATGCTCGACGTGGGTTTCATCTAGTATGGAGATGCAGGGGAAATGTGTGAAACCTTCAATCGGTGTTGAGAATTCAATAAAATGTATGCAGAAATGTGAGCAGACTGTACCAAAAAACATAAATACTGAAAAAATACTGAAATGTAAGCGCAAAGTGTCTCGGAAAAGTTCATGGGCAAACAGCCAGTGAGAGAACCCAAATCAGGCAGAGTCTCTCATGAGTCTTTTGCCCATTTCGTACACTCGGTTCTGCTCTCCCTGCCCAGTACCTGTGGATGCCAGAGCACTCGATGCACAGCAGGATGCCCAGGTTGATGGAGGCCCAGCGGGGGTCGGCCTGTCCGCAGTCACAGCAATGCTGGTTCCCGGGCAGACACTGGATGCGCTGCAGGATGGTCTCCCCCCGGCCACTGCGCTCCCGCGGCTCACTGGCTGAATCTATACTGCTGGTGGACGGCGAAGCTGTTCGGTCCAAGTGCTAAAAATAACCACAAGGCAAACATCTGTTAAAATGGATGACAGGAAAGCAAATATAGCGGGAGAAAAAGACCTCGTCCACAAAGAAAAGTAATCAAATGAAGTCTCATGTCTCAAGATTTGTAAGCTAGATTTGTCTGTATTTACAAGAATTATGAATATTTCTGTTGGCAAAAATTCTTATTCTTGTTATGTTGAGTCTCGTAACACGGACGGAACAACTACAATAAACTATTTAGTTTGCTTTGTTTAAGAACAAAGAGAGGAAGAACTCTGAGATAAGTGTTTAAAATAAGCTGTAACATGGAACTGCAAGTGTGTTTCTGGTGTTGAAGTTGAATGTTATACCCTCTCTTTGTAAGTCACTTTGGATAAAAGCGTCTGCTAAATGCGTAACTGTAAAATGTAAATTTGACAGTGATTAAAACAAACCTCTATGTAGTAAGTGTCGGGGCTCTCTCTGTACGCTGAAGCAATGCTAGCTTGGACGGCCTGAATCCAAGCTTGCCTTAGCTTCTCAGACTCGGCTTGAAGCATGCAGCTCCTGTTAGACACAAAAAGCATTCCCGGATCAAAACGTGCTCTCCGTACAGATGGTCATACTCCTGTTCATGCAAACATTTGCCCACTGGCAACGCGTAGCCAATAGCCCGCTACACACCAAAAAATGCTAATGCTAATTTCCAAAAGATAAAAAGTTAGCTAAATAAAAGTTTGAAGAGAAGTTTAAAGCTAGCAAAGATTACTAACCCCAGTAATGTAGAGATTTGCTTTCAGACATGTTCAATTTTGAGGGTATGTTTACTTTTTTTATTCTAATCATGGCATGTAAACATGTATACTAACTGAAGCATAATGTTAGCATTTGTAGCTTTTGTGATGAAGTTACTGTTGCAACTGAGATTAAGAGTTAAACCTTAAAACATGGAACTTCTTAGCTAAAATAAATCACTTTTACAATGATATCAAAAGTCAAGTGTTCAAATTTTGAAGAAAAACATTTTTGCAAGCATATTAACACAAACAAAGGGAAGCATAATTCCAACATTTCCTTATTGAATAAACTTACTCCTGCACCTGTGACTAAGTTTCAAACTTGAAGACAAGTAAATTCATTAGTAAACTAGGGAGGTTAAATTAAACTTTTCAAAACCAACGTCTCAAAATGTAAATAGAACAGCTTATTATATTGGCACGTATACTAACAGGGCCATAATTCTAAGGGTAAGTAGTTGAACCTAATCTGTATTCTAGGAAAAACACAAAGAAAGAAGTTAATCTCAACTCATGTTCTGGTTTTACTACTCTTGAGAGATTTCATTTGAACTTTTATATATTAATGTTAAATGTACAATGTAAATGTTTCAGACAATCATTAAGCACAGAAAATGCTCATTGGAATGTAAACCGAATTCTCAATATTTCGCCATGAACAAAAGGTGTAGACCACATTTCACGAAGCAATGTAGAGATAAAACTCAGCAGATTAACAATCTCTAGGCTTCAGCCTCTTTGAACCATTAATATTTTTTTCCACAATCAAATATTGATAAGTTATTGAAGTTGGACCAAAGTGCACCAATCAAGTGGCACAACCCCTAGAGCAATGATTCCATTACAGTTCAAAATTAACTTTTTATAGGACTGAGTGTCCCTTACTTGGAGGGGGAGACGACCTCGAAGCAAAACCTCCTTTCGATGTCCTCGCATGGTTTAACAGAGCACAGTCGTAGGTCCTCCACTACCACTGTAAGGGAATCCTGCCGACACAAAAGCAGCCTTTAACATCCGAATGCATCAACAGCAACAACTCAACACAAGGTAAGATATTTCCCCTGGCAGGTGGCTGTCTCAGAGCTCGTAGCCGGGCTATCAGTTTTCCCATGGGGTAAAAACATGCTCGGAGAGGTTAAGTGCACCGACATCCATCACCTCTCTGCGTGTCCGGAGATGTCTGACTGTGTCTGTGCACTCGCTCTGTAAGGTAGCTGGGGGCTTTCGGGATATTTTCAGCCGTCAACTTGATGGCAAACTCTCATATTTCGGTGAAGACCGCTGTTACGCTCAAAACCAGCAGAGCTGCACTTAACCTCTCAGAGCCCACTTAACCCCCTTAGGAAAAGGGCTGAGATCTCAAAGATAGATGGACTTGCCTTGAGCTTCTTCTGGTAGACCAGCTGACTGTTCTGTATGGAAAACCACCGTCTGGAGAGAGGAAGACAGGAAGAAAACGAAACGTTATTTAAATGAACATCCTTCAAATGTGAATGAGAGTAAAGATAGGCCACAAGTGTTATCAAAGACTAAGTGTGACGCTTCCAATCTTACCTTCATTATTTTCACTTTTTAAATGCATGCTTATTTATGAATCAGCTTCTTCTGGTTAAACTTTCCTTTTTATTGTCTGTTTTAAGGTTTTTTGCTATTTCAGAGTATTACTTTTCAGCTATCTTTTATGGTTCTGGACTGATGTAACGTTTCTTTCTGCGTGTCAGTATCCCTTTCTGTATTATTCAGATTTTAGTATGTGTTTTCTTTCAAACTTTAAATTCTGAAACCAAAAAAAAACAAAACAATGTGTATTCATTTGCTGTCCCTACTGCACAGCATCAGTCAGATATATCTTTGACATAGTGGTTACCTGTTCCAAGTCTTGAAGGCATTGCTGGCCCTCTTAAACAAGTAGCCTTCCATCACCACACCGTTGGGTGCATCCACGTTGAACTCCACCTTCGAGTCGTCATATGAAAAGTCCTGAAAGAGAAGAGGAAAATTTAACCCTGGCTGGCACAGGAGGAACTCAAGGACCTAATGATTCTTTTTTTAGACTCACATCACTTTGAGAACCCTCCGCTGTGAGGTGGTTGCAAGGATGCTGATTGAACACCAGAAGCATCAGACGAGCTCTATACTGTACATAAGGTCCACAGACCAATCGAATCATCTTAAAATGTCTGACCATGTGGAAGCGCTCACGTGTTATTCCATGTATGAAAAATTAAAAAAAACATGCCAGCAGCCTGTGTTCTGCGCAGGGGCATTTTATGACTCCACAGATGTCGGAATGACGCACATGATTACATAAAGATCGTGCGAATCAGAGGTAATTAGCCTCTAACGTTTAGATGACACCTAGCTACATAGACAGGCTTAGTATTTTGGGGCGGAAATGTTGTTGTCGTTTTAGGAATAAAGGCGTAAAAACACACTAAAGAAAAAAAATCCACATTTGCTTTGTGGTCTTCATGCGATTATCTTGCATGTAATTTTGACCTAGTTTTAGGTGTGTCTGTTTTTGCGCAAAAGAATAGACCCAAATTCGTTTAAGATGGTGCTGTTATTGTGAGAATAACACAGTAGCAGAGACCTTTGAAATAAACAGATTGCTGTTTTATATGCAAATACATGTACTTAAATTTGTCTGCCTGCACGCCATTTACACATCTCATGTGATAAATTAAACGACTTGCTCTTTTACAACAAAAAAAAAACACAAAAAAAGGCTGGTTCCTCACTGAATCTCACAAATGTTCGGCAAACTATCAAACCAATCAAACTTAACCTCTGTCATCACCCAAAGCCACGAGATTTTCAACACATGTACAAAAAGGGTTAGGGTTAGTCTTCACGACTCCCTAAAACAAACCTGGCATGATAAAGGATTTCAGTCTCTGCCCTGCAGCTTCCCTGGCTGTGGGCATTCATTTTAACATGAGCAGCAAACCAGAAAAGGACAGGGATAAAAAGAAAGTGTGAGCCAATGTTTTTACTCCTGTGCTGTAGATTCACACTCATTACAGACACAGAGACAAACTAAGAGTCTATCATTCTCAAAATGAAGCCAAGTGCTCATTTGGAAGAAAGAGAGTGTTGGTCAGTAATGCAAATCTACCCACCAAACTTCGGTCCCACTGGCAAAAAATCTTCATTTTCAAATGCTTAGCGTGTTCCAGCAACATTACAAATCACACCCCAACAAAAAAAAAGGAACGTAAAAAAGTAGAAAACTCCCGACAGACAGATCTCTGGGAGCAGAAGCGTGGCTGTCCACGCTCTCTCAGCGGAGAGAAAAACCTCTTTGTGCTGCTGTAGTGAGGAGAGTAATTCCAACACTGACGTGCGCGCCCTTCCGTCCACGGCGGCCACCTGCCCGCCTCGGGATTACCTCGGCTGATTACCATACAGCTGCCAACGCAGCCCAATTCACCGTACAAGTCCTGTAGGTGCTGCTGACCCCCGAAACGAGAGAGCCGAAGAGCCGGGTTCCCCAAACTCTCTCAAGGAGGTGGGATTTTCACCCCCATGGTGACCCGGAGAGAATGTACTGGAAGGGAGCCAACCCCCGCCAACAAAAACGACCTTTTCTCAAAGTGCCAGCAGCTCCGAGGAGAAACTTACCTTCACCCCGTTTTCCGAATGTGGCACGACAGTGACGGAAGGGGGGGATAAAACCACCAACAACCCTTGCACGAGCTTGTTCTCCGCAATCTCTCAAGCCTACGACAAAGATCATCTATTTTTTAATAGAGGAGCGTGACGCGGGCTGAAACTGAACATCGGTAAATTATTGAACAAGCGGGAGACTTTTGCAGGAAAATAAGTAAATTGTTGCGATACCAAAAAAAGAAAGACCAAAAAAAACCCAAAACAGGCAGGAACATCCGATGATGCGGGAAGCGGGTCCTGACGCATCGTCCACCTGCTGCCCGGCGGAGCGCCAAATGGCGAGCCCAGTTGGTAGCAGCGATTACTCGCTCCGATGTGAAAGGGCTTGTTTATCACCTGGAGGCTCCGGCTGTGCGTACTACAGCTTTCATCTGTTACAGGGCATCTGCTCGGCCGTCTCAAACTAATCCCCCTCTGAACATCTTACCAAACATTGTCCCACCGAGGGACTTCTCATAAAAGAGAATCACCAGTCCGGACACCCATATAAACATATATAAATGCATATGTGTATGTATATATTAAGGAGCTTAATTGAAGTGATCAGACAGGCTTAAGTTAATGCCTACACATACATGCACATAAATGAGATTGAACACCAGTCATCAGACATTGATGGATCATTAGCCAATCAAATCCCTGCCTCTGGAGAGAAAGATTAGTTTTTTGTGACTCCGAGGAGGACCAGATGCAGTGAGGTGCGACAAATTCTGCAGTTCAGCCAAAGAACAGGAGAGGTGAACCGATACTTGTTCGATGGATAACGCGTATCGAGTTTTCTGGCATTTTCAAAAGCAAAAAGGAAATTGATCGGCACTTCAGATGCTGATAAAGTTGCTCTAAGAGCGTTTTCAGCCCTATCCAGCTGGCAGGTGCTGCAGAGGCCTGTGTACTGCCAGCAGACACATAGGCAGTGTCTATCCCGTCGTAAAGCTATCACACCACTTAGTTTCCCTGGACATTGCACATAATCGTAAATGTAATCGTCTTTTCATTGCTTCTAGACTCTATACGGTTTAGTATGAAATGGATATCAAGCTGCATTTCCGTTCTTAACTCTTCACGTGAGCTTCCAAACATATTCATAACAGAGATTATTCTAGAACCCTTCATTCCAAATGACAAGCAAACCTCTTGGTTAAATTAATGTTTCAGGCTTCTTAGTTTCCTGACATGATTAACATGCCAATCAACAGCTTTGAACAAGCAGTATGAAAATTACTTATTCTTTGATTGAACAAATATAAGTAAATCTCAGATCTTATCAGACATGTTAGTACCGACACACAAAGTAAGCAAAGAACCTGAACGTACAGGCAAAAATATAGGATTTCTCTTTCACGAGGGCATCCATGTGCAGCTTCAGGCAGTAAAAATAAACCCCGGCGACAGCATGTGCAGGAGCTGCAGCTCTGCTCTGATGATGGAAATGCTGTGGCCCACAGCCCTAAACAGGAGCTCTCCATTAAAGCTGCAGTTAAAAATGAATGGCTCTGGCATTTGGACGCTTCGGCGGCGCTGTGCGCTCAGCCAGCAACGGCCGCAGTCTGCAGCTGGAGCACTTTAACTCCCTTTCTGCTCCCCTGCTGCTTTTCTTTTGCACCGAGTGTGCCACTTTGTCCTGTGTGGGTTTACACCGAGTTTATTGCTTAATGCAGTGGTGTAAAAAAAAAAAAGAATGTGTAAATACATATGATTCAAACAAAACAATGGACAAGCAGCCTACAGAATATATACTTCAGTTTTTAGGTTAAAAAAATTGGTTATTTTAAAGCATGCCAATCATTTTTAATGATAAAAAGTTTAAATACAAATTATCTCTTTAAAAATGGTCCACCATTATCTCTTTGAAGATGACGCAAAACTCCCTTTTTATTAGCTGATGTAACCTAAAGTTTCCATCTAGGCCATTCGAACTAAGTTTAGTGTTTCAAATTGTGCACTATAAAAGATTCAGGATCCACTTCAGATTGCCCCGAAGGCCTTTGGAGTTTAACAAGAGGAAAACACTGCATTAACCCAGACAAGCATTCCTTCCAACACTGCGACCCTACTTGCACGTCCAAACCGGAGCTTTGCGTCAAAATAAAGGTACTCACCTGGATTAGGGTCTGGAAGAAGTCGGTGGCGTTGGGAGCATACATGCAACAGAGGAGGAAAAAAGACAGAGAATTAAGATCTCCAACAGCAGAGTGGCTTACATCAGCTAAACATGATCATCTTTCAGGTTGAGTGCACCTCTGATTATCCTCCTCACTGGCTTTCCATCAGACTCCAGCATCATGGATAAACCCCGTTTTCATATTTTTAGCTTGTAGCCTTATTTATTCACCACTACATGTCCGCTGTTGAGGGATGGTATTGTGTGAAGCGTCTGATCAATATCTGGCCACACATGTTGGTCTGCCCACTGGGAGAGCCCAGACTACACTGAGAGCTCATAGCAGTCTGACAGATGGCCAGTGGTCCTGGGGTTCAGGACAGGCTGCCCAGACACTGGCCAGCTGAAATAAAGCTTTCTGAATTATTAAGGATGTAGCTTCCAGACAGGGAGAGCGGGGTATCTATAAAAAACCAACTTGACGGCGAAGGTTTATTGTGATTCGATTTGAGCTCTACGCTAAAATTAGCCTGCTAGCAGATAGAGCTGTAGCTCCAAAATGTAGCGGTTAAAATTATTTAGCGTGTCAATTACCGCTTTACTTAACGTGTGGTGAAAGGTATAATAGTAGGTCAACAAAAATGTGTTAATAGTTGTCTGAAAACCTGCAAAGTGCCAAGTGTGGGCACAGCTACCGTTAGCAAGCTAATATGCTTACTAACCCCAATCGACTAATGATAGATTTGAAAGATTACATGGATTCGTGATTAAAAAACAAGAATATATAGAAAGTTGATTGGTTTTCAACTTGCCACAGTGAGACTTTTGTATTTTAGGGTAAACTAACCAATAGATAACTTAAGAGAAAATAAGGGATAAGGGTGACGCTGTATGACATACTTCACCGTTCCCCATTACAGTGTAAAAATATGGCACAGTGTAATATCACTGACAGCAAAGACAAAAAATATTTCACACCACTTATGACGAGAGGGCCGTGGAAGCAAATAGCAGAATTACTGGAAAAGGAATCGATATGTAAATGGCGCTGGAAAAGGCTTGATCCCAATCTGTCTACCAAAACACTTGTCATGCCACTATGCAGGCTCTCTTTTTTCCTGTGGCCATCCAAGAGTAGCTGTTATTTTATGGTAAAAAAACTCAAATTGAGGGTCTTGTTGACAAAAACCTTTCAAGGGTAAATCAGTCTTACTAGGCTAAATCTAACCCACTAGGGTAAAATGAAATGGGGGAATGTTTTCATTGCAAATATTCAGGGGAAAACAGATTCTAAAGTCCATTGAATGGACTACCTTGGAACTATAAAGTTTCAATTCCGCACTGCTGGGAGATCTCTTTAGTTTAGCTCTATCAGGACTTGATAAAGAAAACATATTTCTTATTTTAGTCTTCATCAGGAGAAGAGCCACGGGTCAAATAACTGTAGTGTTCCGTGCGTAACTGTTTGAGCTTAAACGTCTTCAGTCTCTCCAGATGCACATTAGGAGTCAATGAAGCTGTGCCGGAAACTCCTACTCTGCTTCTACACTCTGAATCGACTAACCACTTCAAGTTCGACAGTGCCCCGTTCAATGGAGCCTCTCTGCTGAGAAGCACAAAAGAAACTACCGAGTCAGCACTTTGGAGGGCTAAAAATGGGTTTAGCCTCCTGCTCGTGCAACTGCACGTGTATGTGGTGACGGTTGCCTTCTGCAGACGACAACAGAGGGATTAATGTCTCTTAAAACACTTAGTTCCACCTGATTTAAAGCTTTAAATCGATGCCTGAGCTTTGTCGGGGAGATTAATCAAACACCTCCCAAACAGCGCAGATCTAATAATCCCTCCCCAGTCACAACAGACGCACTGGACCAAGCAGAAGCTTCTATCTCCAAAGCAGAGCTCAGTCAAAGCCTGTAGGCATCCCCTCAATCCTGTCCCATGTCTTTATTGCTCACAGATTACATGGAGAAGACATGCACACATGAAGGATACTACTCAAGATAGAAGCATGACTGTAAGGTCCATCCATCCCTTTTCTACCTCCTTTTCCAATTTAAATTGAGGAAACATAAAAGTCTTAGAAAACTGGACAAAATGGACACGTTAAGGTACAAACAAAACCAGGTTTGGCCTGTCCAACAGCAGGTCAACACAGAGACAGACAACCTCCCCTACTGTCAGTTTAAATATCTGACTGATACTTGCTTTAAGACTGGAGGAAATGGGAGAATCCTCATGGAAAGGTTTCAGGGAGAACTGGAAGCCTAAACCTGAGCTGCTCATCATTTCTGACCGAATCTGAAAAATCTCTTCTTTCATTAGAGTGCACGTCCCTTTTTATAATAATTATGAAACCTTGTGTGAATGTACATGCTCCAAAAATTAATCTTTCACTTTTTTTTGTTGGGAAATACAGCAAAATTCAAAAGCAAATTAATACAGCCAAATTCCCAACATTGTTATCATAATCTCTAATAAAGATTATTAGATGGTTAAAGACTGGCACAACATTTATGAGCTGACATGGGCTTATAGAAGTTCCAGACCTTTGCTCTGCTCTTTTTTAGCTTCGGCGTCATTTGAAATTCCCATTCAAGTATCTTAAATAGAACTGGTACGTTCCCCCACAGAGAAAGATGGATCGGAAAAAAATGTTCCGAGCTTTTCTTTTAAACATTCCACAGTTCAGTAAATAGCTCATTTCTGCTTTGGTGCGCAAACTTTTCTTATAATCGGGGCGACAGGATCCACACGGCAGGTCATTTATAATGTTTATTAGAATCAATGGTGGGGGAAAAAAACGAATTACTGGTGGCAAAACCATGAAATAGGAACGGAATGGAAAACCAATAGAGATCATAGTGGTATGCAACAGCCAAACAACTGATTAGAAACCTACTGAAAATGTTTTAGCTGCCATATGAAAACAAAATGACTGCCCCACAATCCATACCTACCAACTATTTATTTCTTTTTGTGTTTAGCAACACTTTAAGCAGCAGGAAAATCCCCAGACCTATGACAATAACTCCTCACAGCTTTGTAGTACAAAAAAAAACGACAACTAAAAAACAAAAGAACTCACCCTCTGCTGAATAGTTGCATGTTTATGTTCCATCTCCCTCTTCTCCATGGCTGAGTCAATCACCAGCTGGTCCAGCTAAAAGGAGCATATAAAAAAAAAATGGACTGCAGGGCGTATTCGTGTTCTAATGAAACAGCCGACATATGCTGTTATGCAACACACTTTCAGTCCAGCAGCCTCTGGCAATCCCAGGCTGACCCTCCAATCCCACTTTGAGGTCATTTTTTCTGTTAATGAAGCATCGATTCCGTTATCAAGCCAATGAATCAGAGCAGTGGCCGCAAATGGAAAAAAAATGCCCACAAAGACTTTGTTTTGTTTTAAAGGGAATTAGCCATTTTTACCATTACTTGTGTTGAATTCTTTCAGCAAAATGTGAAATTTAAATGACATTTTCAATTCATTCACCTCGTGTAATTCATACGATAAAGACTGAAGTGTACTGGGCAGATGCTCACCTCGGCAGCCAGCTTCTTCATGTAGGGGTCGATCTGGTCCAGCAGGTTGTAGCCCTGTTGGAACAGCGAGTACTGGGCGTGCATGAAGGACAGCATCTGCACGGAAAACATCCACATTAAAGGGGCTAGCCTCCATTTGTGGGGGGGGGGCACACGCATGAAGAGGAGTCGGACACTTACAGCATCAAGGATCTCAAATTTCTTCTTTGCCTGAAGGACATTAATCTGGAAAAAAAGCAGAAAATAAGTTTTTTTACATACTTTAATACCATATGTGTCATATTTGATACTTGGCTTTCTGACAATTATTGCATTATGACATATTTTGTTTATTTATATTCTATTATTTTCTATAATAAAAAATGCTGAAAAAATTCAATATAATTAAAAATACATTACATTAAATAATATGTATATAAATATTTTCAAATTTTATTTGTTAAAGAGACAAACAAAGACTTTTTATATCCATTTTTCTGAAGTTTATAGGCTTTATAGGGTAAAATAGACATGCTTTGAACGTTTAATTGAATTCTCTCTGAAAATATTAATTGTTTTCTTGGTTTATTTTGCCATTTAAATGACACCCTTCAGAGGAGAAATCTTCTCCCATTTAAGCAATCCGTGACACCACAAAGCTTGACTTGTGCTCCCGGTTTGCCTACTTTACACTCCCTCGGCATATCTCGTGTTAAAGCCTCGGCATTGTACGTCTCAACTGATGCAAACCGTAAAGACATTTTGTGCTACATTTGACATGTCGCGTCCATACATGGAACGATCTCCCCACATCTTTCCTGCCGCGAGACATTTCTGATTGAAGCTCATGTCTGAGTGCCTCCAGCAGACGGACTGAAGAATGGAAAGAGGACAGTTCATTCTGAATGAGCCTCCTTTTTGTTTGCAAGGGGTTAATATTCCCATGCTGTTTGTGACTAGAACGGTGAACGTGTCAGAGGGGTTAAGGGGCAGAGAAGTTGCTGCAGGCTACCCAGCTATGTTATGGTCTGCAAAGCATGCGTATCAGAATAAAAATCAGAATCAGAAATACTTTAACAAACCCAGAGGGAAATTATTTTTGTTACCAACTCCAGAAATAGTCAACAGCCAAATGTATCATATTTGATACATACGGTTTCTGAAGTCTTTTGGATCTGAGACTTTTTGCATCATTCAATGGTAAAAGCTTTGCTCAAACCCCTGTTGTACACATTCAGATATACCTGATAACAGCGAATAGAAGACTGCACGAAAATATATTTTTGACTTATTGCACGCTAATTTGATCAAAATCATTTCTGTTTTTTTTTCTTCATATGTTGTTGAGGGGCCAAAGAAAGACTTCAGACTTAAAAAATCCAATATTCTTCCTATTTTTCTTGGATCAGGCTTTATAAAGAACACACAAGAAGGTCTCTGTGCTGCTGACCTGCAGGACGTAGTCCAGGGCGAGGTGTCGGAAGCACTTGCGGGTGATGCTGAGCGCGCCGGTGGCCTCCTCCACCTCGTGGGGCTTGTTCCTGGGCGCCTGGGCGTTCTTCACCTGCGCGATTTCCATGTCCTCGCGCACCCGGTCAAAGTGCTTCTTGGTCTCCTTAAACTTCCGAACATCTCTGACAACACACAGAGGAGGAAAGTTCAGGTCAAATGAGTCCACACAGGAAAAAAAAAAAACACTATTCCAGTTCCAGATGTACCTGTTGGGCCGCAGTAAGTCGTACTCTGGTTAATATTTAAACGCAGCAGAAAGGTTTTCAGGGGTAACAAGGGCATGTTTGCCCTTTTAAAAGACACAGAGTTTTCTTCTTTTTTTTTTAATATATAAATATATTTATATATATATATATATGTTGACATTTTTATACCGATCAACATGAAAAAGCACAAATAGCAGATTTACTTACTCTTTCACAAAGTTTTGCAGCTGCTGCTTCACAGAACGCTGGGCTTGATCGAACAATATCTGAAAGAGATACAAAAAAATCTTTACTGACACTGAAGAACACTTTTAAAAACATGTGGAGGAAAATGACGTGGATACATCTTGGAAGCTGCCTGGTTGACTTTTGAAATCTTTTTTATGATGCTATAATCCAGTGATATTTCCGGAAAAAAAGGTTATTCTTATTTGCAGAGGAGGGTAAAACACCAAAGATCTCAATAAAAAAGTACAAAAAATACAAAGTAATTGTTGATTTATTGATTAAACAATGTGGGAATGATTTTGCTCAGCAAGACAAAGGTAGTATAAAAAAATACAATAAAAAAAAATAAGACAATAACTTAATTATTTAAAATATTATTTATCTTACAAGCTAAACGTGGATTGAATGCAGGAACAATTCAAGGATCAGTGAAAGTGAAACTTAAGCATGCCGTCAAACCTCCAATATTTTTGTTTCTTTTTAGATTTAGGTGTCATGCGCACATGCTCTAGTGGGGAAATAAACAAGAAAACATGCTTAAAATAAAACTTTAACTCGCTGGCCGAACTCGCCAAACTGCTATTGGTCAGATGAAAATAACACAGGCTCTAAAAACAGTGACCCACAGTGAGTCTTTTTTAACCCTGCGAATACTTGTAAACCAGCACAGTCTGTGTTAAACACCATGGGCTAAAACTGCATTCTAATCTTTTAAACACACTGGGTTGACTCCAAATTCTACTTTTTCAGCCTTTGTTTATAGTCCGAGTCTGTTGAAGTAACGAAAGTTACGAGGAAAAAAGTGTAAAAAGAGTCAAATCTTTAATATGGAACAATTTAGCGCCATTGCAAAAGATGGAAAATGAAAGCCAGCTGTCTGCACAATGATGCATTTCACAGTTTTTTATTCGTTTTCAAAAGGAGAATTAAGTCTTGAACCATCTGCTTTTTTTTTTTATCTCCAGGGGGCGCCAAAGCACACCTTTGCTTTAACGTGCATGAAAGTGATGCAGAGCATTTGGCCCAAATCTGTTGGAGTGAAAGGATGGGGAACGGCGCTCGGACTCGGACACGCCCGCTCGGACACAATAACAGCCTGCCCTCAGATGGCCGTTCCGGGGTCCCTCCTCGTCTCCTCGACCCCGGGAGTGGGTTTGCCTGTCGTTGAATCTGCCGCCGCTAAATAGGTCAAGCAGGCAGGGGGGTGGAGGAGGGGAGGAGGGGAGGAGAGGAGGAAGAACCGGGGCTGGTGCTTGACAGTCAAACTGTGCATAAAGCACGTGGTTTAACGACGACTGAACACTGGGATGTGCTCAGCATCACCCCCCCCCGTGAGGTCTGGGTCTGAGGATTTGAGGTCGGCACTTCAAAAATAGATTTTTGGGGTTTGTGGGTTTTATGTTTTGTTTTTATGTTTTTATCTCTAGGCTTTAGAGGCTACAAACGCTCCCCTATTTTTGTCGAAAGTTAAAAGAGGAATCACACAAGGACAAATGTGGTGGTTTTGACTCAGTCTCCAAGACCACATACAGAAACATCGATAGATAGATAGATAGATAGATAGATAGATAGATAGATAGATAGAT